AAACATCCCCTCTCGGAAAATGGTGGCAAATACTGAGGCGGACCTCGAGAACCGAAATAACTACCAGAAGAACCTGGTGCAGACGAACCCTGAACTGAAGGGGCACGATATGAACTCTGAGTTAGGATAGCACAAAGGGATGACTGACCCGGTCTAGCATTGTATGAATTGTGGTTGGATGATCCACTATGGTGAACTGGATTAGCCATCTGAGTGGGCCTATTAGGTCGACCCCTGCTATGGTAAGACTGCCCCCCAAAAGGTGCACCACTAAAATTTCCTGAACCACGAGGCCTCTTGGCCTCCCTCTCCTCACGCTCCTGACTGTAAACCATCTCTAGCCACCAAGCAATATTAAGCACCTCATCAAATATAGAACCTGATAAACTCTGCCGAGTCATAACAAAATGGTAATGGTAGTAGAGGCCATCAAAGAACCTCCTAATCCTCTCCCTCTCAATGGGAACCAACCAAAGTGCATGACGAGCCAACTCTGAAAACCTTATCTCGTACTGGGTCACAGACATGCCATCTTGTTGTAGCTACTCAAACTGTCTGCGCAGCTCCTCCCTACGAGTTTGTGGAATGAACTTTTCCAAGAAGAGAACGAAGAAATCATGCCATGTAAGTAGTGTTGCACCGACTGACCTATGCCTCTCATAGGCCTCCCACCATCTGAAGGCAGCCTTAGTAAACTGAAAAGTAGTGAATGAGACCCCGTTGGCTTCTAGAATACTTGTCGTGCAAAGAATCCGCTGGCACCTATCCAAGAAGTCCTTGGCATCATCTGAATTAGCCTCACTAAATGATGGAGGTTGGAGTCTCCCGAACCTCTCTACTCTCCTCTGCTCATTATCAGCCATTGCGAGACCCACTCGGGCCTGAGCAGCTGTAATCGGTTGTCCTAGTAGTACCCCCGGTCTAAAGTCCCTGCATCACCAGCTCTGGAGTACAGGCGGTGGGAGCCTTGATACCTCCCCTGGCCTGAGAAGTGGTTGGCGCGGTATGAACAGAAACCACTTGAGCAATGCTGGTGCACACAGTCAAAATTTGAATCAAAGTCTCTTGAAGGCCTGGAATCACAATGGGCATAGCTGGAGCCTGAGCTGGCCCCACTGACTCAACCATATCTGGTAGTTGCTCCTGAGCTAGAGCAACTGGTGGATCTGCCGGTGTTGTTCTAGTTGTTATACGAGATGCACCACTGCCCCTACCGCGGCCCCTATCGCTACTTCGGCCTCTCGTGGCCCTAGCTAGTGTTACTGGTGGTTGTTCGTCCTATCCGGTAGCACGTGTACTCACCATCTGTGAAAGAATAGAATAACAGAAGTTTAGTTCCCAGAATTAACAAATCTGCACGACAAGAATACAAGAACGTGAAGTTTTCCTAAGGCTTCGGCAGCCTCTCGAAGATACGTACAGATGTCTTCGTACCGATCCACAAAACTCTATTAAACATGCTCATCACTCGTGAGACCCATGTAACCTAGGCTCTTATACCAACTTATCACGACCCAAAACCTAACCTGTAGTGATGGCGCCTATCATGGTACTAGGCAAGCCGACTGCTCAGATATTTCCAAAACTTTAATTGTTGAAATATGCTAGACCGGTCTAAATAAAGGAAAAATCTCATAAAAACAAGATAGAATATCAATACTCAATACATAAAGTCTTCCAAAAACCAGGGTTTCACGGAGTACATGAGCATACACATAATGACATAGTCTGATACACTGACTAGAAAGTAAATTTGAACAAGGAAACAAAAAAGCCAAGGGAGGAGAGTGAAGGTCTGCGGACACCAAGCAACTACATTGATGATCTCTGAAGGTCTGGACTCAGCAAATCAGAAATCACCGTGGCCGGAAATACCTGGATATGTACATGAGGTGCAGGGTGTAGCGTGAGTACAGCCAACTCAATAAGTAACAAATTTAACTTTTGGACTGAAAGTAGTGACTAGTTCAAATATTATAGCTCACTTTCAACATTTAACAGTATCTAAAGTTACAGAAAATATGATAATGATAACTCAAAAATTAATAATTTAACAAGTAGAGGTATAAGAATTTAGACATACTTTCATATTTACAATACAATTCAACATATAACATGGCAGATCCATCCCAGTGCAAGTAAAATAGGGAAGATCCAGCCCAAATGCAAATAAACCAGGACAGATCCAGCCCAAATGTAAATAACTACTAGAAATTGCGCATATTGTGGATGTGCAGACTCCGGAGGGCCGATCCAGCCCAAGTGCTATAATAAGCCAAATCGTGGCATGAATAAATAAAGCATGTTATGGCGTGCAACCCGATCCCATAAACATCATTCACAATAGACCCTCAGTCTCACTCAATCACTAATCTCTCAAGTCTCTCGGGCTCACCAGAATCATGTTATTCAGCCCAAACAATAATGATATGATGTATCAAGCAAAGGACAACAGAGACATAATATGTAAATAATAGTTGTGACCGAGTAGAAATGGCAATTAGCACAAATAATTCAACATGTAACATGACTTCAGAGGGCCCAACAGTACCAACATGTAGCCTAAGCATGATTTATAAAATGATTGAGAGCTGAATAGCTCTAACACATGGTACAAATATGGGTAAAAGCAAGATTAATCAACTATTTAGTTTCATGGAATCGAGCAAGTCACAATTCTTACGGCGCATGCCTACCTTCCTGTCACCTAGCACATGCATCACCTCAACACCAATCACATAACACAAAATTCAAGATTTCTTACCCTCATAACCAAGTTTAGAAGAGTTACTTACCTCAAACTGTGCGAAACTCTACTCCAACAAGACCTTGCCTCGCGAAATGGACCACGTCTTGGAATCTAACAAAATTCACAAAACTCTGTAAGCCCATTCAACCACGAGTCTGACGATACCAAATTAACCAAAATCTGACACCAAATCATCACTCGAATCCCAATTTATACTCTCCAAATCCCTTGCCTCAAACTCCAAAAATTACACCTCAAAACCACACAATCTAGGTGGGAAATTCAATGGAGAAACATATTTATTAAATAAAAATAACCACAAGTGACTTACCTTAAGAATCCCTTCGAAATCCCTCTCAAACATCGCCCTAATCCGAGTTTGCAAAGTCAAGAAATGATAAAACCCTCGTAACCCAATGTTTATATTCTGCCCAGGCTTTCTCTCACCTACAACAACTTACGCGCACCTGCAGCTTTGCGAAAGAAACAAATCTCCCCGTTATGCGGTAATTCAATGGGGACAAACCTTCGTACCTGCGGAGACATTCTCTATTTCTGCGCACACGCAGGTGCGACATACTTTTGCTCTTGCGCTTCCCCCTCGCTTCTGCGCTCAACCTCAACGCATCTACGACCACACAGGTGCGGTCATACCTTCACACCTGCGACCACTGCACTCCCTTCTCTTGGCCACATATGTGTTTCCCATCTCGCACCTGCAATCAAAGCTCCGCAGGTTAGATTGCACCAGAAGACTCCCAGCTTCAGCAACCCTTTAACTCCAAACCTTGATCTGTTAACCACCCGAACTCCAGCTCATTCCCCCGGAACCTCAACCAAATATACCAATAAGTCCTAAAATACGATACGAACTTAGTCGAACCTTCAAATCACATCAAACAATGCTAAAACCACGGATCGCGCATCGATTCAAGCATAATTAACTTATGAACTTCCAACTTCTACATTCGACGTCGAAACCAATCAAATCAAGTCCGATCGACCTCAAATTTTGCACACAAGTCACAAATGAAACCATGGACCTACTCCAACTCCCGGAACCCCAATCCAAACCTGATAACCACAAAGTACACTCTCGGTCAAACTTCTAAATTCTCAACTTTCGCCATTTCAAGCCTAATTCAACTACGGACCTCCAAATCACAATCCAGACATGCTCCTAAGTCCAAAATCACCCAATGGAGCTAATAAAACCATCGAAACTTCATTCCGGAGTCGTTTACACATAAGTTAACATTCGGTCAAATTTTTTACCTTAAGCTTCCAACTTTGAGACTAAGCGTCTCATCTCATTCTGAAACCTCTCTGGACCCAAACCAACTACCCTAGTAATTCACATAACAACAATTAAGCAGTGAATGAGTAGTAAAATAGGGGAACGGGGCAAAGACACTCAAAATGACCGATCGGGTCGTTACACTCACTAGCCACTTATTTTCCCTTAGGGGTGTTCATCTACTTTTTCATTTGATTTTTCAACAAGGTATTTTCTATAATTACTTCTTCCACTTGTTCCATTAAATCTACAATTGTGACCACCATATCAACCCTCTCTTGTTCTACATCACCAATTTCTTCAATTAATGCATTTTTCTCACTAATTAGGCTATGATAGGCATCAATCAACATATTTGCTAATGATATCAGTTTCTTTTGAGAGTATGTTTTTAAGTTTCTTTTAACATTAAGAGTATTTACATCATCTTCCTACTTGTCCTCATCATCATCAGATTTTGCCTTGAGAGCAAAGATAAAATCAAACTCTGAGGATTCATTTTCAATAGCCATCATGGATGTATCTCCTTGGTCATCTTCACCTTAAGATTCCCTAGAAGAATCTACCCAAGCAGCCAGTGCTTGCTTCACCACGTTGTCAGCAACATCTCTTCTTTTGAACCTAATGTGAGGGACCGAGTTCCTCTTGACCGTTTTGTTAGTGTTGTTATTTGTAGTGATCCTGCTTATGGAGTGGACGGTCTTTAATGAAGTGTCCAGGATTTCTACACTTTTGGAAGCAAACATTTCATTTGGAGTTCCTGTTTGAACTTCCTCTCTTGGGAATTCCACCATTTCTTCCAACCATCTTTTGGAATCTTTGAGTGAGATAAGTCGTGTCAAGCTCATCACTGCTTGAGTCACTGTTGGCAGGCTTGAGGACCAAGTTTTTCTCCTTCTTGGGCTCTTTTATTTCAAGATCCCTTTTTCTCTTCATCTTATAGGTTTTGAGATTTCATATTAGCTCATCAATGGTCAGTTTCTGTAGGTCCTTGTCTCTAGTGATGGCGTTCACTTTACTTTCCCAAGAACCTTGTAGAACTTTGAGTATCTTCCGAACCAACTTATTTCTTGGGATGATTTCTCCAAGAGAATAAAGCTCATTGATAATGGAGGTGAAATGTGTGTGCATATCTTGAATGGACTCATCCTCCTTTATTTTGAAAAGCGCATACTTAGTGGTAAGCATATCTATTTTGGACTGCTTAACCTGAGTAGTTCCCTCATGGGTAGTTTTAAGAGCTTCCCAGAACACCTTGGAAGAATCACATGCTAAAACGCGATTGTATTCATCTGGTCCAATACCACAAACAAGAATCTTTTTGCCTTGAAGTTCTTTTCAACAGTCTTTCTATCAGCATCGTTGTATTTTTTTCTCAACTTTTGGACAATTCTTGTTCCCTCTCCAGCAACTTTCGTGGGAACAAAAAGACCATCACAAATCACGTCCCACAGCTCTGAGTCCTCAGCCATAATGAAGTCATGCATTCTCGTTTTTTACCATCCATAGTACTTGTTGAATCTTGGGGGTCTTGTGGTTGAAATTCCTTCCTCGAGGTTTGGTGGAGCAGCCATAATGAATATCCTTTCTAGGTGTTAACCTTTTAGAAAGAACATACTCTGATACTAATTGATAGAAACTAGGAGTCCACCAAACAGTATAGAGAATCAGGTTCTCTATCCGTTCCCACAGTAAATAAGCAGAAAGTAAATAACGCGCAATATTTACATGGAAAACTCCCTTCTCAAGAGATTAAAAATCATGACCTACCCCAGTAGGATTTCAACTCCACTAAACTGAGAAAACTTCATATTACAACCTATTGCAATCTAGGAATTAAACTCTTAATCCCTCACCTCTTACAATAAATCTATTGTAAGCTCTTTGTAATAACTCTATTACAAAGCAACACCCATTGACTAACTCTAGTCAACACAACCAAAACAACAATGGTTAAATGATGTCCTACAAAATACTTCTCGAAAGATGCGTAGGTTTACAAGTAAAGAACAAAAGATAAAGACTCAACAAACTTAAGGACTCAAGACGTCTTCAGTGTTGGCATATGGTCCTTGGTTTGTAACAGCTTTGTTCTTGAGTGATGTTTATGATGAAATTTGACACTCCCTTTTAAAATTAAATTAGTTATGCTTATTAATAAGCAATAAATATTAATCAATAATACTTATTTTTCTAAAATATAATAGGTAATAATAATTCATATTATTGAAGTAATAGCACTTTAATATTGGAAGTTATAAATTATATCACTCTTACAATTTTGAACTATTAAACTGCCTCTATATTTTAATAAATAAGTTTATAATTAATTTAATGAACCAGTCCTTAATTTGTAATTATATCGTCTTATTTACTTTAATAAGCCAAAATTAGTGTTACAATTCAATAAATGAAATATTAATTTCAATAACTAATTAATTACAGTAATTATTAATGTATTTGATGATTATATTTAATTATGATTAATTAAGTTAATCTTTAATGGGGTTAAAATTCAAAAGATTACAATTGCAATTGATTGTCTAAACTCAATGTGGCTATGAATTAAATTTTATTACAGCTAATTTTGGTCCAAAATACACAAGCCCAAACTTCTAACCCAGTCCTGAACCAACCCACTCTATCCAAGTTGGTAATCAATACCTTCCTCTCTAAGCCAATCCAAGTGCGCCACGTCATTCGTCTCCCTCACTCGCTGAGAAAACACAAATAGATCTGGACCATCGATCCAATTCATCAACGGTCCATGTTTAATCTCCATTTTCCTCCTTTCTTTAATTTTGTCGAGACCACATCTCCGTCGTTGGATTACAGAGATCCAATGCCCACCAATCTTCCCTCAAAACCCAATTTAATAATTCTCATCTCCCTGAAATATCAGGGTCATTGATTAAACAATCCAACGATCCAGATTTCATCTCCCGTTTTAAACCTTAGAGACCACCCCTAAACCTAATTCATTTTCCCCATTACCCATCCGTCTCTCTTTCCCTTTTTCTCTCTTCTATCTCTCACTCCTCAAACCATCAATCACCAGACCTTGCATAAGTCTATGAAAGGTCATTAATTCAAACCCCAAAAAGTTCAATCTATCCCTTACCTTCGCAAATTATGCTGATATTTCCATTTTTATCTCCCAATTTCAAACTCCCCAATTCAAACCCTAGACCTAAAATCGTGTAAACTTAAATGCATCAATCTTTCTTAGGCATTTCAAATCTATGACATGCATGGCTATTATCTTCTGCTTCATCATCATTATTCATTGTTCAGAGGTCAAATGCAGTAATCTCAGGATATTAGAGTTTGACTGTCGGATCGAAGGATTTAACAGCCATCTCCTCGTGCCCAGGTAAAGATCTTCACTATTTTTTGCTCTTTCTCGTTCTGATTTCACCTGCTTACTATCGTCATCTACACTATCGTCACTCTCCACTATCTGCTCGAACTCAATTCAAATACTAAGTGGATTGAATGCCCTATTTTCAATGTCTCTACCTAACATATGCCACTACACTTAATGTCACTAGCAAATACATTGAAAGAAAAAAGTAAAGTGTTTCTACTAAGTGCTAATTTCTAGTAGCTTCTCCCTAATTTCTCTTCTCCATTTTTCACTTCTTCTCGAGTTAGGTCTCTATGCGTAATTCGTTTTAGTTTGGATTCCTAAATGGCTAACAAACGACTCTTGATTAGTTTGCTGCTCTGCAGAAGGTCAGTATACACTGACCCTCTTTCTATCTCTGAATAACTGTGCAATTTTGTGTTTACAAAGTTTTTCCAATTGGTTACCTTTCGTTTATAACATATATCAATGACATGTGATAGTATTTCTTACGTTTTGCCTCTATATGCCATTTTCACTAATTTAGTTGATAATTTCCTGATAAATTATGTTGGTTGGTACTACTAGCCAATCTAAGCTGTTAATAAATTTCATCTCCCATAGCTTGACTAGATAAAATATTTTTTGTGATGTTGACTCTTATGAACAAATCCCATTGAACCGTTTATAAGCTAGGTCTTAAGTTGATACTATGTGTGTTCTATCTCTGTTACTTAAATGATAATTATGCTATCATATTATCTAAATCAATCTAGTTACACCCATAAGTTTCTCCTGATACCCTGTTAAGATTTGTGCTTATGTGTGTGATGTGGTGCCACATTGTTTTAGTTCAAGATATAAAAATGATCCTCATTACAACTCATTGTCTTGCATTTGATCTGTCTGCTTTTGACGATCTTAGTTGATAGCTTTGTTATTGAAATCATGTTTGTTCTGTACACTTAATGATTCATGAAAGACTGTTATTATAGAACAAACCACATAATGAACTTTGCTAAGTATGTTAGGAAAATTGTCCTTTATTGATTCCTGTGATAAACCTGATACTTGCACTCTCACGACTACTTGAGTTTTCTATGAGATTTCTGCTACTACATTAAGGATTTTTGTATTCGAGATTGCATCTTCCATGTTAATCCATGCTATGTTCATATACCATCCCACAATCTTGGTTTGGAAGACTGTATGTTCATCCCATGTGTTGACTTTTTTACTTGCCTTAGTTTTGACTCTACTGTGGTAATGTATTTGGTTTGAATTTGGAAGTTATTTCCCCTTTGAGAGTTTTTGTACCTATTTTCTAGTGATGTTTATTCTGTATGATTCTAACTATTATATTCTACTAAAACTTGACTATGTTCTAATTCTTATATGTTTGGCTAACTTTGAGAGTTTTTGTCCCTTTGAGAGTTTTTTGCTAACTTACATATAAATAATGTATTAAGCCCTATTGATATGTTAAACTGATAAACTTACATATATGTTCAAGTGTCAGACCATTATGACCGGCTTGCCTCATTAGGATAAATATTATCAGCCATTGCCTCATACATGATAATGCCATCCCCCAAAGGGATTCAATCTGAAATTTGTTTAAGTATAGGTAGTTTGAAATCTTGATGACCTATGTGGTTTGCACAATTAATCCATTAGCACTGAGTGAAACTAAGAATGATCTTTTCGTATTTAAAGAACTTGATGCCTACTGTTGACTATGTTAAGGATTTAAGAAAATATCTTAGAACAGTCCTAATAATCTGAGCTTACTTAGAAGGATTCCAAAAATATTAAACTTACAGTAGAACTGGTACTTAAGCTTTTCTCTGTTAAGTATTAACATATTAAAACTTTAAATGTGACACCCCCTAAGAATGGACGTGTTTATTGTTTGGACTTGATTTCCCTGATTAACTATATATCATGCTTTCTTGTGTCTTTAATGTCTTAATCCTCTCAACCAATACTATGTCCTTAATTTCCATTATGCCATGATGAACTGCAGTGCCTTGTCTGTTCACTGTCACCAATCTTTGTGTGTGTGTTGAACTTTCAAAATGTTCCCCATGTCTCCTGCACCTGTTGTTTGTCTGTTAGTAGTATTAATCCATTTGTGTTGATCCTTTATTTCTGATTAAACCTTTGAGGAAGACTAAAACCAGGTAATTAATAATATTTGGATGTGAAACTTGCTTTGGTTGTGATCCCTCTCCTTGATACAAGCACTGCTCGGGGTCCATGAGACCCTCGTGAACTCTGAAGTGACAAGGATTCAAAAGGATCTCATATCCATAAGTAAGGATATATACCAAGCCCTTAACCACTAACTCCTATTAATCTTCATATGATTAGCAAAAATAGAATCTGCTCCATTATGCCTCAGCATTCTTTATTATTATTTATAATTTTGTCTTGCTAAGTTATATACAGTTTATGCATATCAATTATTCTCTTTTCCTTTGTATGCATGAATTCAACTTGGTCATGTTGAGCCTATTTGGAGCTCAAGTTCACTATCAGATCTGAGTCATTGTATCCCTGTCGCGTCTGCTATTCATGCATATAACATTAGGCATGTTCAAGTGTTGAGCCCATATCATCAAGATTCTAGTTATTTAACCCTACTTATCTCGAATTTATTTCTTTACTGTCTGATATGTCATATATGTATATATTCTTGAATGACTAACGCTATTATTGGATAACTTCAAATATCTTGATCGTGTAGGAAACATAGGCAAATCAAAAACCCATAGATAAAAGAATTAAAATAAATCTTAAATTTTGTTCGCTTTAACACTTGTAATGCTTTGATCATTTATTTTCTTAACAAATGAAAGATTTTGTCTCGTTATCACTAACCATTTACAGTAAGTTTTGGATTCGAACAGATTCAAAAATTGAAATGATTTCTCATTGGAAATATCAGAATCGCGTAGATAATTATGAGGCTGATTTTCAAGAAACAAAATAAAACATAGCCGGTGATGGCAAACTAAACGAACCTCAATTAGTTTCAAAACACAAGTTTAGATTGAAATTGATTTTCAAAAAAGGTATACATATCCAAATTTATGGTATATTTTCTAATGGTCTTTTATTTCTCCAAGTTATACATGA